TTTTTTTTTTAAAAAAACTAAGTTAAAATAAGATTAACTGAATTTAAAAAGCATAAATAGAATTTGATCTTTTTTTAAACATATTTATAGAAAAAAATTATTACCATCAAACTTTTTTAGCAAAATAAAATTTATTGACACTAAACTTGATTTTTGTTGTTGTTGGAATTCGGTCGACTAATTATTTTTTTTTCTTTTTTTTTAATAACCTTGTTTTTCATTTCTCTAACCATGAGAATAAAAAATAAAAATAAAAAATAAAAAAATAAAAAAACATCATAAATTTAAGACAAGTCCGGTAATTTTTAATATATTTTATATCTTTTAATTTTATATTCACATTATAATTTGAAATCTAATCTTATACAATTAACCTATAAAAAAGTTGCAATTAAAATACAAATGTTTGAAAAGTTAAAAACTCGTAGGAGGCTCAAACATCGGCAGCCTCCCAGTTTTTTTTTTTTAAAATTAATAACAACAACATGATGCATCATCCTTAGCTTTAGAAAATACAAGAAATAAAAAATACTAGAGGCGCGTGACCTCTACAAAATGGCAATTCCTGCCATTAATTTTAACCTTGTTCTCATGCCGGTCCTAAAAACAACACCTGGATGTGCATTGAATTTGGACTCCAAACAGCGTTTAATTTGATTTATATTTATATATTGTGAAAAATGGAAATCACGAGTTTCTCTAAATTCTACACTTTTATTTTCTGGAGAAATAATTAATCTAAATTCTAAAAATCACAATTCATAGCACGATCATCATAGGGTGTAACAATACTTATCTGAGATTGTATTTTAAATGGTATTTCTTAAAAAAATTAATTTTAATTTTTTTTATTTTAATTTTCTGATATTAAAAATAATTTTTTAAAAATAAAAAAATATTATTTTAATATATTTATAAACAAAAATAGTGTGAAAACATCCTGTATCCCACTTCAAAACACGATTGCGTTTGTACGTGCGGTGCGCATGAATTTAATGCGAAGGCTAAGTAATAATTAGCCACTTGTGTGCTCCCTCTCCTCAAATTAGCCACCAGTCTTTAAACCTCTCCCTCTATATAAATCCCACTTTTAGCAAAATTAGCTTCCACTTCCCCCCTCTCTCCCCTTCAGGCCTCCCTCCGAACAAATTAAGAAAGGCTCATCCCCCGATCTCAACTTTCGATGTAATTTTCCAGACTCGCTCATACTCAATCACATTTTGCATTTCCATCGACAAAACTAGAATCCGTTTCCACAGTTTTTTTTTTGTGTCTCAGATCTCTGTTTGGGGGAATCTAAGAGAAATGTCGAAAGCTGGTGCATTAGATCTCGCTTCCGGTCTCGGTGGAAAGATCGATAAAAGCGATGTTCTCTCCTCCGTTGAAAAGTATTCTTCCTTTCCTAGCATGCATGATTTAATCTACCTCCTCTTTCTCGCATGCATGGATTTTGCTCTTTTAGATTTTTCTTCTCTGTTGAAGTTTTCTGTATCCTGTCTCTGTATCTCTACAACGATTTTGAAGACTTTAGTTGTTCAAAACTGTACGTTTTGATTTGTTGTATAGAAATTTCGATAAATGCATTTTTTCTTAAAAAGAAAAAACTAAAGAAAATCTGTTTCTTTGTAGAATGTCTCTTTTTTTTATCTCTCTATTTCAAGTTTTAATCCCAGTCTCTTTAGCTTGATTATTAGATCTCGGTGTGATAAATGTTTTTTTCTTTTGTAATATTGAGAATTATTAGAGGAATATTTGACTTTGGAAGGCAGGGGTTGTGACTTGCACAAGGTTTCGTGACACCATTAACTACAGAGCTTCGGCCTGGTTTCATTAGAAAAATCGCGCATGGTCCCACTCTCTTAAATCTTACATGTCAACCATTTATTTCTGAGTACATAAATCATAAGGGTAGAAGTTGATGGTTTTTTTTTTTTTTTTCAAATAAAAATATAAAAATAAATTTGAAAAAAATATTATTTTAATATATTTTTAAAATAAAAATATTTTAAAAAATAATTTTTATCGTTTTCTTTATGTATGTGTTTCACCACCACGTGGGACCCGAAACAGACAATTGTCGTTTCAAGTTTCAATCACGAATACAATATACATGGTGTTTGTCCAAGGAATCCATGATTGGGTTTTCCCTCGCGTCTTTAGTGTGTTCCTGGCTGTTTAGAGTTCTAAGTTTTTTATTTTTTATTTTTAATTTTAGCATAACAATTTTTTTATAAAATAATATAATATAAAAAATATTTTAAAAAATAATATAAATAATATATATGATTCACAGTTGTAAGTATTATATGCAACTTTCTTAAATTATAAAATTGCAAAAGATAAAATTTAATTAATAAATTTTTTTTTGGAATCATACTGAAATTTTGATGATAATAGTATAATATCATTAGAAAGATGTTGACGAGATAAATTTAATAATACCAAAAATAAATCACTAAAGGTAATTAAAGTGGTCACATGAAAGACCCAAAGGTAAGTGAGTTTCAATAACTTTAGATAACTTATATGACACATTTCATTTATTATTTATAATTTTTTTTAATATTGTTAAATTTATCTTGTTGAGATTTTTTTAATAGTATCAATGTTGTCATTATCAAAGTTTTGGTGTGTCTATAATATTATTTTATTTTATTTTCTTTGTTTTTTGTTTCTCTCGTCTTTCCTTTTTATAATTTATGAAGAGACATGAGAAAGAGAAAAGTAATAAAACAAAATAAACCTTTAGATATATCAAAAAAGATCTCGACAAGATGAATTTAATGATACCAAAAAAGGTTACAGACGGTGAACAAAATAGGTCACACGAGTTGTCCAAAAGTGTCGGTGATCACTTGTCTTGGGGCCACTCATGTGGTTAAATCTGATTACGATTAATGATATTTTTTGATATCGTTAAATTTTTTTTGTTGAGATCTTTTCAACGGTATTGGCAGTGTCGTTATCGCAGTTTCAATGTATTTCCAAGATTTCTTTCTCTTTTTCATTTTTTATCTCATATCTTTTTTTTTTGAATTTTGTGTTTAATAATTTGACAATTTAAAAGATTTATAAATGATACTTACCACTTGCGAATTATAGATATTATTATGATTTTCTAAACTGTATTATTTATTTAAATATTGTTTACATTATATTATTTTATTGATGTTTTTTTAGTAAATCCCAAAAACTCCATATGTACTTATTATAATTTTTTTAAAGGTGAACAGTGACTGCCAGTTGCTGTACCTGGAAGTGGGATAAAACAGAACCACATAATTGTCTCTAGATTGTGTAGGCGATTGATAGGGCCTGTTTACTAGGAAAATTCCCAGAAAGAACCTGAAAAATAAAGGAAAAATGAAAAATCCCTGGACTCACTCCTTTGTGCAAGAATAGAATTTCAATTTTGCATGTACGTGATCCCTTTTTCAATTATTTTTGCTAAGCCACTATAGAAGGCATGGTCGTTTATGGTAAAGACCAGGTCTAATTTTGAGTTTGGTGCTGGTATAATCTGGATTTGAAACCCATCCAATATAGTGTAAATAAAATTCCAAATATAATTGAATCAGTGAAATGTGTGGAATGGTGTGTCAGAATATCATGATCGTTCTGCTTATTTACATGAATGATCTTGCTGTGAGTTTTATTGAACCTTCCTAGAAATTCTTCCCCGGCATGTGTAAACTTTGAGGTTTTCCAATCCTTTAATTTTCTTGGATCTTACTGAAAAAAATTGTGATAAAAATCTTCTATTGACAATCCAGGTATGAAAAGTATCATGTTTATTATGGAGGTGCCGAGGAAGACAGAAAAGCCAATTACTCTGACATGGTAAGAGAAGATCAAGTTGCTAACTTCTTCTTATGATTGACCTCATGTATTTCCTGCCAATAATCTGCTCTCAGTTTCCTTCTTGTTATGTTTAGCTACGGGAAACTTTTTTGCTTCGTCTTGCGTATTTGTAGTCATAGAGGGGTGCATATTTTGAACTATAGTATTTTCCTTTTCAATACATTTTCACTGCTCTAGAGACCCCATATTTTGAACTATAGTATTTTCCTTTTCAATACATTTTCACTGCTCTAGAGAAAGTGCCAATTGATTGAATAATGCTTGGAACTTTCTATTGATTCATAGAAACATCAACATCATACTGCATGCAGAGTCCATTTCATTTCATAGCACATATATCTCAGAGAAGCTAAAGTTTCTTGTTATTCCTCTAATGAGTTACTACTCAATATAAATGAGTGTACTTGAAACCAAACAGTTAGATTTTAAGGAGTACCTGATCTATGAAAAAGATTTCTTGAAACAATATTTTGGAAACATCTATGGAAGTTTTTCCATGTAACTTTAGCAAGGATGAATAATGTCGAGTTTTCAAGTTTATTGGTCATGAAGTTAGATTCTCCTAACTAAAATCAGTCAGCTAGATACGCTAACATGTCAGCACGGTTGATTTTTTGTGATGTTTCTATTTGAATATGAAGAATTGAAATCTTTTGCTGAAATATGAATAACCTGATTATTTTCTTTTGGATGCCTACTAATTGCTGATCCAAACAGTGTTATTTAACCTATACCTATTGACTCATCACATTTGGATTTCAGGTAAATAAATATTATGATCTTGTTACCAGTTTTTATGAGTTTGGCTGGGGGGAGTCTTTCCATTTTGCACCCAGGTACCTTTTACTGTCTTCTACATTTTTATTGAAGTTCTGCAGGCATACTCTATGCTGCTACCGCTGCTTATAAGGCTGATAAAAAACAAAACATTTCTTGTTTCAGATTCAAAGGGGAGTCTCTCCGTGAGAGCATCAAGCGACATGAGCACTTTCTTGCTTTGCAACTTGGCCTGAAACCTGGACAGAAGGTTTAACCTCTTCTACAGAATATTGCGAAACCAACAGGAGATCTGCTTTATTTAATAATGTTGATGCATTGGCTTGACCTCTTTTTTTCTTAAAATAGGTTTTGGATGTAGGATGTGGAATTGGTGGACCTCTTAGAGAAATTGCACGATTCAGGTGAGTGGCAGAAGTTTCCTTTCCCTGATAATGTCAGCAAGAAATAGGGTGCAAATTTAAGTCATTCTAACCTACATGCTGACTTTCATCATAGTTCTGTCATTACATCGTATTGGAATTTATTTTATAGTTATTGTTGAATCCCTATATGATATTAAGTTCTTATCAATACTGCCTTTTATATTAGTTCAAAAAATGTAAGGATGATAAATGGCTGCCACTGCCTGCTAGCTTCTTATTCATTCGACGTAAACCATACAGATGGTCTGTCTTAGCTGGAAGCAAGGAAACTAATATTTGTTGGACAGGCATCCTACTCTGTTTCTTGTTATGGCATATTTTTTCTAGTGATTTGGTGGTATTTCGAAGAAGTGGTAATCCAGTTGTTGGATTGGTATCCTACTTTGCTCTGTCATTACAATAAGAAATGTTTGTAGTCCTTGGTAGTATTTGCAACATGGACCAGGCAAATGGTTGGCCTTATCTGGAAGCAGCACCACCGCTAATAGTTGGATGGAATCTTACTGTTTTTCTTGGTTGTGACAAATAAGTTAACGTTTTTTTCATTAAATTCCCATACATGAGAGTGCTTTGGGCATATTTTGTGTTGATGTGCTGCAGCTCAACATCAGTAACAGGGTTGAACAACAACGAGTATCAGATATCAAGGGGAAAGGTGCATGACTATCCTTTTCATCCATGTCAGTTAAAAGAATTGTGTGCTTGTATTTGATTGATTATCCGAGATTGATTGACTTTATTTGATTTCCGTACTTCTCACTTTTGATTTGTTAGCCATGAAATTTTCAAAATGGCTTTAAAGCTTACCGCCTATATTACTTTGCAGGAACTCAATCGCATTGCAGGAGTTGACAGGACATGTGATTTTGTGAAGGTTGATTCTGTTCTTGATATAACTTCGAGTTCCTATCTATTAAGCACTTTTGTCCATCTTCTTGTATTGTCAATTTGCTGTACTTGGTTTAAAGTTTCAACATTTACATGTGATGTAAGAGTTGCAGGATATGATTTTTAGTTTTCATGGCAAGCATAATTTTAGTTGTTCGCTGATAATGCAGGCTGATTTCATGAAAATGCCATTTCCTGATAACAGTTTTGACGCTGTATATGCAATTGAAGCTACATGCCACGCACCAGATGCAGTATGTTCCTAGAAAAACTCTCAACTTATATTTTCTGATGATTTTGCATCACAGCTAAGTATATTATGTATATAGATAGCCATCTCTCTCTCTGATCTTCGTAACATTCTGTATTTTCTAAACAGTATGGATGCTACAGTGAGATTTACAGGGTATTGAAGCCAGGACAATGTTTTGCTGCATATGAGTGGTGCATGACTGATGCTTTCAATCCACATAACCAAGAACATCAAAAAATTAAGGTTAGATATTTTAGCTGCCTAAAAAGGCCTCCTGTTTTCCGTTAGTGATTTCGATCTTCATGACCATGAATTTAACATATCTTAATTGGGGCAGTCAGAAATAGAGATTGGTGATGGCCTTCCTGATATTAGGTCGACTGGGCAATGCATTGATGCTCTAAAGAAAGCTGGTTTTGAGGTCAGCGAGCAATCTCTATCTCTCACTCTCTCTTTCATAATTGACATCTGAAACATTTGATCATGATAAATGGTCGTTGTTATTCTGCCTTTGAAGGTCATATGGTCAAAAGATCTTGCAGTGGGCTCACCTATGCCATGGTACCTGCCTTTGGACACAACTCACTTCTCACTGAATAGCTTCCGTTTAACAGCTGTTGGGAGATTCTTTACAAGAAATATGGTAAGTAAATGTTGGCCCATTCTGTTTGGTTCTCGATACCGTTATCACCTTATTGTTAGGCGCTCCACTTGCACGCGAATGCGTGGAATATTTCTGATTATTGTAGCCCTCATGGATGGTTAACTGGTAAATCACCTTGCAGGTCAAAGCCCTAGAATATTTAGGAGTTGCACCCAAAGGAAGTCAAAGGGTTCAAGATTTTCTTGAGAAGGCAGCACAGGGATTGGTTGAAGGTGGAAGGTGAGTATTAATTTCTGTTATCATGCTAACTTCCTTTCTGGACACCATTATTTAAACCCATATATTGCTCGTGTATTTTACCAAATTGATCACCATACAAGATCATTTTGAGCCTCAGACAGAAACCCTTTATCGCATCCTTCTATTTTAGTTTAGGACAGCTTGTAACAAGGGCAGATCGACCAATGGGTGGGATGCGTCCGCCTTGAATTTTTCTTATCTTGACAAAAAGTAGAGACGGATTCCTCATGTTAGTTCTATGGCCCCAGGTTGCTTGTGGGTTACTTGTGAGTAGCATATGAGCAAAAGAATCTCAGGATTTTAAAATGCCCGATAAAATTATCTTAAATAACTTATTTTTTTTAAGTTAATGATTTTGAGGTTTCCTGGTGCCCCTGCTACCATGTTAATGACAGAACTTTGTTATTATGCCTTACAGGAAGGAGATTTTCACCCCACTGTTTTTCTTTATTGCTCGGAAGCCGCATTCAGACAGCCAGTAATGGAGCGCAAGCTGTGCTGCTTCAGTTTTCAATCTTCCTGGTAATCGTGATGGCAGTGTGTATCTTAGAATTAACCATGACAATGTTATGCCGCCGCTGTTCTGTGATTCTCTCAACTCTGTCCAGTTTTCTTCGAATTGATTTGTGTTGTACCTCTTGATATTTGCTTGATAATTTATGTCAGCTTTCCGCTCCGTTTCAATCTTTACCAATCCAACGGACAAGATTTTACCATAAAAATTACGGCATTTTTTAATATTTCTATTACCGATCTTCTGATGGCATCAGGTTGCTTGTCCCCCAGCCTTCTGCTGCAAGATGTGAAATCTGAAAGCAAGATTGAAGCGCCTATAAGCTACATCTTCAATTCTGACTTGCTGGTTTAGACTCCATCTACCACTAGATATAGTAGTTTTACACTAACATTTCATGTGTGATTTTTTAATAACGAAAAATTTCATAAAAAAATAGTTGTCAATAAATTCTAGTCTATCCGCAAGTATATTGTTAATAAATTTATCAATAATTTTAAAGATGGACCTTATATATATATAAAAAAATTACTCATTTAGATCTGTTAATAATTCTCTCAGTACTAACAACAACAAAAAATTTGTAGCAAGGAGAAAAAATGGCATGTATGAGTAATTATTTTATAAATCAACTACATAGATAAATGATAAATGATAAAATTAAAAGTGAAATGAATATTTTTGTTTAAACTGAACAATATTTTCCTTTATTTTTATGTCTATTTTTGTTCAAAATAAGCATCATAAAGACTATGATAAAAATGATAGTTGAGTTAACTTCTAGTTTTACCAATATGCATGAAGTTATAGAAGTCAATAATAATCATTATAAGAATATGGTTATGGATGCGATATGAATGAATCATGATTATGCAAGTAAATATTCAATTATAGATAAAGAATTAAATGCAAACGGGGTTATTTTTTTTGATCTTTTGAAAGAATCCAACTAACTTATAATATGAGTGCACTAATCATAGTAAATTATTGGCTATTACACATGTGTTCACCATCAAGTTAGATTATGGGTTGAGTGAGGCCGATTACGATAAAATTATTGAGTGAGAAAAAAGAATTGTACCTCAAGGGAATAGGTTAAAAGAGAACTTCTATATTTCTATATCTATGATGAAACCTTTTAGCCTAAGATATCATAAAATTAACACTTGTTCAAACTTTTACATATTATACTACCTTGAAGATATAGAGTTGACCAAGTGTAGAATATGTGGACAAGCTCTTTATAAACCCAAAAAAGATAGCGAAATAGCTCTTGTTGTATATAAAAAAAATTAGATACTTTTCAATCACTTCTAGATTGCAAAGGTTATTCATATATCTAAAGATTGTTGAGATAATGACATGATATCATTCACATGATGCAGTAGATGAAGTCTTGGTGCACCCATCCGATGAAGCCTGAAAATATTTTAATCGGGTGTATCCTTAATTTTCATTAGAGTCAAGGAACGTACATTTTATGTTATGTACAAACAAATTCAATCTATTCGGGTAATTTATTACTTCTTATTCTTATTGGCTGGTGATACTCACAATTTACAACTTACTACTGGAATGTGTATAAGGCTGGATTTCATATTTTTATCTACGAACATACCCGGTACTAATACTCTAGGTTGAAATATAGATGTTTGTTTTTGATCATTGAATGATAAGTTGAAGCAATTGTGGTCATCTAGGACTTTGACTTATAATGTCTCGAGGAAATTATAAATCTATATGAGATCACACTACTAAAGAAATGATCGACATAACATGAATCATCGAGGAAAGTTTTTTTGATGAACAATAATTGTTTATAAGCGTGTTGGTAAAAATCATGTCTACTAAATTCTAACTAGTGATGAAATATTCTGTAGGTAAAATGTAAAATTCTAGTTTTTTAGACCCCCTTATTTAAGCAAAATAACAAGATTCAGGAGGTGTAAATATAACACTTTTAAACCACCAAGGGGTTCATAATTTTCTCCAATCTCAATATATATATATAAAACTATTTTCTCATACAAAGCATTTATTACATATCAAAATAAGAACAAA